CAGAGACTACACATTGCATTTGATTTTATGCCTCTTAATGCTCTTTTCACTTACCACAGGTCTCCTCATCCACTTGACCTGTTTTTTCCCATGACATTTACTTGTTGAAGAGACAGACTTTGTAAAAGGTCCACATGTTAGATTGTTTTCTTATAAGTCATTTAACTTATTCCCCCCACCCCCTATATTTCCTGTAAACTGAAGTCAGATCTCAAGACTTGATTGGGTAAACATTTTTGGCTCTAATATTTTATCGGTGACACTGTGTTCATCAAGAAGCACACAATCAAGCCCTGCATTGAGCCCCATGTGGGGCTCTGCGCTCAATTTAGGAAAGAAAAATAGTAAGGAGGAAATTACCCATTGGACATCAAACCGTAATACTATAAAGCTACTGTAATCTAAACAGTGTGCAGAGATATAGGAATAGGCTAATATTAATAGAAAATTAATATTAATAAAAAGATTACTCAAAAAGCAAAGAGACTAGAATCAGGCCATAGTATATATAAGAACTGTACATATATATGGGTAGCAGTTCAAATTAATGGGGAAAAGATAGGTTATGTGATAAAAAGGGAAAAGGATAGATCCTTACTTTATTCTATATTTCCAAATAAATTCCAGGTAGATTAAAGAGCTAAATATAATAACATCTCTAAAAGAAATAGAAAATAAAGAATACTTTTAAAATACTGGGACAAGAAAAATAAGATATAACACTTAGAAACCTTAAAAAAGGACTGGTAAGGGGTGCTGGGCTGGCTCAGTCAGTGGAGTGTGTGACTCTTGATCTTGTGGCTGTGAGTTTAAGCCCCACGTTGGGTGGAGAGATTACTTAAAAATAAAATCTTAGGAAAAAAATCTTAAAAAAAAAGGACTGGTAAAATTGATCAGACATTAAAACACATAAAACTAGGGGCACCTGGGTGGCTCAGTTGGTTAAGTGTCTGCCTTGGGCTCGGGTCATGATCCCGGGGTCCTGGGATTGAGCCCCGCGTCGGGCTCTCTGCTCAGTGGAGTCTGCTTCTCCCTCTCCCTCTGCCTGCCGCTCCCCCTGCTTGTGCTGTCTCTCTCCGTCAAATAAATAAATAAAATCTTTAAAAAAAAATAATACACATAAAACTTCTGTAGCAACATGAATATAGTAATATGACAAAGATTAAGTAATTATCAGCAAAGATTGAAGAGCTGATATCCATAATATATAAACAGCTCCCACCAATCTAAAAGAAAACAGATGGAGAAATGAACAAAGGACATGATAAGAAATTCTTAGAAAATATACTGAGCACTTTATAACATGCTCAGCTTTACTAGTGATCAGAGAAATGCAATGAAAATTACAGTAAACTATTACTTTTTATTCTCAAACTTAAAAATATTGGTTCTATCTAGTGATTTCAAGGGTGTACAAAAAACAGGTACTCTAAGATATTGTTAGTGTCCATCAAAATTTAAAAAGTGGATACTCTCCGATCCAGCAATTCCACCTCCTGTCGATATACATGTTAGGATATTCAATGCAGGACTGTTTGTAATAGTGCGCCCCCCCCAATACAACCTAAGTGTCCATCCATAGGAAAATAAATTATGGAAAACATACAAGGGAAATCCATGCAGCCATTAGAGTGAATGAAGTTGGCTATAAGGACTGAAAAGGGAAATGTTCAGGATGCAGTATTAAGTAAAAAAAACAAAAAACAAAACCCACTTCACAGAATATGCACACTATGAAACAATTTACTTAAATAAATCTTTTAAATCTAAATACAGACTTTTTTTTTTAGATTTTATTTATTTGAGAGAGAGAGAAAGCAAGAGACAGAGCATGAGTGAGGAGAGGGGCAGAGGGTGAGGAAGAGGGAGAAACAGACTCCCCACTGAGCAGGGAGCCCAAGGAACACAGGGCTCAATCCGAGGATCCTGGGATCATGACCCGAGCCAAAGGCAGATGCTTAACCAACTGAGCTACCCAGGCATCCCTAAATGCAGACTGTTAAAGGTGGTTATCTATGAGGGTAGGATTGGGGTATGAGGGTGAAGGAGAACTTTTTTGGTACATGTTTATATATATATATATATATATATATATATATATATATACACACATATATATATTTAATTTATGTTTCTAAAAAATACAATCACACATTCATGCATTATTTGGTCATTTGGGATAAAAACAAAGAAAAAGAAAAATACCTCACTCAAGAATCTTTGAGGTAAAAAGCCACTATCACAAAGTTATACCTACATTTAAGAAGCTACCTACTAAGGAGGATGAGCATGTTCATTCATTCAGTCTTAGAAACATTTAGCCAAGGAGAGCATGCTGATCCTCATGTATCCTTTTCCATTTCTCCCAGGTTACTAAATTCTACTCTACTGATACACTAAGTATCTGACAATAAGTCAAATGTGTGTTAGCATTTTTCAAAAGGTGAAGTGAGAGAGAGCTGGGTGCTGCTCGCTCAGTGCCCCAGGCATAGGCCTAGGCTTTGGGGTGTAAGCACTCTTAGTCATTCTCTAATCTCAAGACTCAATATAACCAGAATCCTCACCATTCTCTAGCCCCTTCCACCCCACCATTCCATTATTATAATTATTGTTGTTGTTTGTGTGGGAGGAAGTGTACATAACCCAAAACCACCAAATTAACATCAGGAATATTGTTTTAAAAATCTACATTGTTATGGGATACCTGGCTGGTTAAGTGTCTGCCTTCGGCTGGGGTCATGATACCAGGGTCCTAGGATCGAGTCCCACATCGGGCTCCTTGCCCCACAGGGAGCCTGCTTCTCCCTCTGCTTGCCGTTCCTCCTGCTGTGCGTGCGCTCTCTCTCTCCCTCTCTCTGACAAATAAATTAAAAAATATCTTAAAAAAAAGAAACTACAATGTTAGCATGTGGTCTGAGGTCCAAAAAAAAAAAAAACCAATCAAACTGTATGACATTTACACAACTATACAGGTTACTTCAGAAATGGACCTATAAGGAAAGATCCATTCAAACTCTGTCCTTAACCTGTGAAGAATGGTGCTGGCCCCAAGAAAGAGCCACTGCAGGACTTGGGATAACTGCCATGACCTGTCAAATGAGGGATTCCTCACCTACAAAATAAAAACAATAATATTTAACAGGGCATTTGTGTGAAGCTCCTATCACTGTGTACAGCATGTGGTGGTAGCTTAATAAACATCCATTTTCTCCCCTTTTTACAATTCTAAGAGATTTTCCGTCTCAGGGTCAGGAACATGGGGGATTTCAGATTAATGCTGAGAATACCAGAATATCCAATGAAATAAAACCAACTTTTTTTTTAAAAGTAATCTCTACATCTAACATGGGGCTTGAACTTATAACCCTGAGATCAAGAATTGCATGCTCTACAGACTGAGCCAGCCATGTGCCCCCAAACCAACTTTAAAAAAAAAAATGCTAGTGAAGATTTTAGTGTGTGTCCATTTTCCCATATACCTGCCACCTAAACCCTCTAGCTTTATGGGAATTTGACCTTATACAAATTACTTTTTTTTTTAAAGATTTTATTTATTTATTTGACAGATAAAGACACAGCGTGAGAGGGAACACAAGCAGGGGGAGTGGGAGAGGGAGAAGCAGGCTTCCCGCGGAGCAGGGAGCCTGATGCGGGGCTCCATCCCAGGACCCTGGGATCAAAACCTGAGCCAAAGGCAGACAGACGCTTAACAACTGAGCCACCTGGGCGCCCCTACAAATTATTTATTTTCATATCATTAAGCTATAATTTACTTATAATTTGAAATTGAAACAGTATCATTTAAAAAATTTTTTTAAGATTTTAAGTTTTTTTTTTTTAAGATTTTATTTATTTTTTTGACAGAGAGATAGAGAGCACAAGTAGGCAAAGAGGCAGGCAGAGGGAGAGGGAGAAGCCAGCTCCCTGCTGAGCAGGGAGGCCTATGTGGGCCTACATCCCAGGACCTGGAGATCATGACCTGAGCCAAAGGCAGACGCTTAACCATCTGAGCCACCAAGGCACCCTGAGAAGCTTCAAAATTTTAACATAATGTATCTATGGACCAGTTTCTACTAATTTTAAGGTAAGATTTCAAACTTTCAGAGTGTGACTTATCTGAAATATACATACCAGAAAATGTTCCAAAAAAAGTAAATGTTCCATAATTGTATTCTTTTCAGGGTGAATTTACCTAGGAGAAAGGAGTATTTTAGAGAACTCCTTCCCTTCTTTTTTTTGCTTTTCACTGTGCTGCCCATAATGTTGAGGATTACAACCAGATGCATCTGTTCTCTAAGCTCGGACAGTTGGGGAAAGACAAGCTGCAGTCCTGAAGACAGTGTTTAGGTTCTCACTCTAGCCCTGCCCCTGTCACTTCTGTGCATCCCCACATCCTCACTGTGAAAGGGCAGCCTTGAACCAAATATTGTGTAAAGTTCCTTCAAGCTCTAAAATTTTATGATCAATGGTCAAACAGTGAACAACAAACTAACCAATCAACCAAGCAAACTAAACTACATTTCCTATGGCCTATTTCTCAGAGCCTAGAGATCAGCTTATTGGACATCAGGAAGAGTCAAACTGCTCAAGTGCAACACACAAAAAACAAATATCAGTAAGAAATAGCACTTTTCTACCACTACCTAAACATGACCTAAAAACAAAATATAAATAGGGTTTAAAATTTCGATGTGTGTACTTAGCATATGGACTTCCTATTCCCAAGAATGTGAAACATTTCTGCAAAATTACCAACTGTAATTATATATTTTCTCTTAATGATGTTATGCTAACAAAACCATAAAATTCTGTTTCTAAAACATGAAAATGCTTAAACAACATAATTATCTGTACTTAATATATTTTTTCTCTTTTATTGGAATCATAGGCATTTTGTTAGAATTTCCAGCCTCAACACTAAGTTTGAAGGAGAAAATGAACTGCTGTAAGTGAACTTCTTGGCACTTCAGTCTTAGTTTGACATTTAGGTAAGTCACCCTCAAATAAATAGAATATCATGGGGTATTTGAATTTCTTTCACTCTAGGGATCCAATAAAACAATTCCCATGTAATATCTATTCAAAACAAAACCTAGTCGGATGTTAACTAGACTTGCTGTGGTGATCATTTTGCAATATATACAAATATCAAATCATTATGTTGTACACCTGAACCTAATATAACATTATATGTCAATTATACCTCAATAAACAAAAGACTTACTTTTGCAAAATCCCAAATAGTCTAGGAAAAGGTGGCCTTTCCACTGCTGAGCCCCTAAGGCCAGTAAGGCCTCCTATTTCCGGTCAAAGCAGAGGACCTGGGAGGATAGGTTTCTGCTGAATTTAGACTCATTTGCACAGCATTCCACAAGCTCCCAATTCTCTTGCTTCATTGCTGCCCCTGCAGACAAACAGGTAGACCATTTTTAATTCAAGGCCTTCACTGATTTCCTTAGGGGAAACAGGATGAAAGAACATGATTACTAAGCTTCTGGTCTAAGTGGCTGATCTGTAGTTCCAGACTGTTCAGCTGAGTCAGTGATGCAGAACCTTCTTTCCCCAGCCCCCTTTCCTCCTTAATTAGCAGCGCTAAAGGGTAAAGGCCTTAAACAATAGAAGTCAAATAGCCCCCGGGGAAGTACTCCATCAAAATTTGCATTTTTGAGACGCTTCTAGGGAGACTGACTCAAATTCATTCTTTCTCTAGACTCTTTCTCTAGAATTCTAGAGGTTGGCAGTAATTGCGGAACTGCAGGATAAAACGTTAAAATGCTGGTGAAAAATTAGGAATAGCTTGCAAGACGTAAAATTCGGGGCTATGAAATCTAAAGATTGCCCTCCAATCTATTCAACTTCTTAGATGCTACCATGCAAATTTGTTTAAAGTCCCTCCAAAATGACAGTTTTGGTTAAGTTCCCTAAATATCAGGCATTATTTTAACCCAGAAGAAAAAGATACGACTCCAGTTTGCAGGATTAAAGTTCAAGGATTAAATTCGCCACTTGCTTCAATACTTCAATAATTGGACCTGTCGACACTTTAGGTAAGAAAAACTCAGCAACTGGTGTATAAAATTACTGAGTTAAATGCGAGTACTGGATGCCAAGAGGAATTACGAGACAAACCGTACGGTGTATCATGTTTCCACGGTAGGTTTATCGACCCCCTAAGAAGCCCTGGCTTAGTCTTTTTGAATGCTGGGCACACTCATAGGTCGATAGAGTGTAGGTGATTTAAATAGTTCGTCGGTTGTGATACCAACTTTACCTCAAGTCTACAGAGCGGCGGACAATTTAATCAGTCCATACTCTTTTCCAAGCCAGCAGCCATGGCAAGAATCCTTTTCACTTGGCGCGATTACAAGGAAAACCCTGAAATACTTTTAAAAATACACATGCCAAAGAACTGGAGTTAAGTTATTAGGATGGGGTTGTGTAAAGCTTCGGTGACTCACTAAAGGAAGTTGGGACCTGAGGTCTCAGCACCGGAGGAAAACAGAAAAAACAAAAGTTGGGGGCAGGCGGAGGGTCGCGAGCACACTTTTATATTTGATTGGCGGAACCACTCAGACTTTTCTTTATGGCGTCACCAGGTACCTGCCTGTAGAAAGGCCCCGTCTGCGTGACGTCACGCCTCACTGACCAATGAAAAGCCCCAATCTGCGGGCCCCGAGGAGGGTTGTGGGCCCTTTTTTGTGAATGAAGGTCCACGGAACAGCCCCCCTGGGGTCCCCGGGAGCCGCGGCCCGCTGTGCTCCCGCGCCTCGGCAGCAGCGTTCGCGGCTGCGGTGGGCGCGCGCGGTTACCCCAGGCAGCCCCAGCAGCCGGCGGCAGCACCGTCGCCTCGGCAGCGCCAGAGGGCTGCGGGCACCTGGGGACGGGCTGGGGGGCGTCGGCGGCGGCAGGAGGCGCTGTAGCCAGGGCTGCGGCGCGGGTCCCGCGGCGGCCGCAGGAGGGAGCGGGGCAGGCGCGGTGGGCCCGGCCCCTCCTCCGGCTCCTGCGCGGCCGCCTCCCGCCGGGCTCGACCGGCGCCCGCCGTCCCCGCAGCGCCGCTCCGCGCCCGCCGCCCCGAGCGCCCGCGCGCGGCGCTGGCGGGGGCCTCGGCGGGCGAGCGGGGCCATGGTCGTGGCCCCCTGACGGGCCGCGGCCGCCTCCATGAAGCGGAAGAGCGAGCGGCGGCCGAGCTGGGCCGCCGCGCCCCCCTGCTCGCGGCGCTGCTCGGCGTCCTCGCAGGGAGTGAAAAAGAGCCGCAGCTCCACGTCGCAGGAACTGCACCGCCTGGACCAGCAGGACGACCTGTACCTGGACATCACCGGTGAGCCGGCGAGCGAGCGCGTGGCGGGGCGCCCCAGGCACTCGGCACCCCGCGCGGGGGTCCTAGCCCACCCTCCCAGGCAGTGGAGGCGCCTCCCGGGCCCGACTGACACGCCTCCGCCCCCACTCCCATAAAAGCCCCACCGGCCACACCCCCTTCAGCGGCCCGGCTCCCTGGGAGCGCCCCCCTACCCCGACTTTCCATCTGCGTGTGTTGCGAGCTGTAACTTTATCCGTTTTGCACTCTCCTACCCCGGCAAGATGGGCCGCGAGGGTCACCTTTCTTAAATTGCTGGCGTCAGCTCGGCGCCTCAGGCTTTTTCTAAGTTCGGGTTGATAGCGCCTCCCCGGGCTGCAAGCTCGGTTGGCCCTCACAGGAGCCTGAACCTCTGAATCAGCCCAGAGGATTCTCCGAGCGCGCGGAACGCGCCGGCCGGGGAGCAGCTGCCCTGCTTGTTGGGCGTTCGCCCCACCTCGGCTGCTGTGGAGGAAATGGAGTCCCGCCTCGTGCGGCGTTCCCACGTCCTCGCGCGGGTGCGCACCGCCCTCGCCCCCTCCCCAGCGCGCGCGAGCACACCCGGACCTCCTCGCGCTAGCTCCTCTCCCTTGCTTCCACAAGGAATGTGTCACACTGATGGTTTGTGAGCCGTTCTGCGTGCCGAATGCCCAGAGTTGTTACTTTTGAGAAATCGCAGCCAGCCAGAGCAGGTAGAAAAGCAGCCCTTTGATAGCTGTTTTCTTATTAGCGCTGATTCTACAGTTCTTGAAGACTAATAAATCCAATTTGGCAGCTGTTGGATTTGCCAGGATTGACACTAAAGCGTGTGAAGGCATTAAATGTGATGATGTATGTGGAAACGCTTTGTAAACAGCATAGCTGTCTACAATTTTGAGGGAATTTGCAGTGTTTTCTGTGGCGCGGGATGTGTAAGCCTTGGCGTGTGGGATTTTATATATAAACTGTTTCCCGCCCTTAGCCTTTGATAAGCCAGGTGAGCTGGAGTGCTCAGAATATTAATTTAGAAAGGGTTCGGGCAAACACAAATTTAGTAGAAATTGTTTTCTAGCTTGATGGACAGTTGGAAACTGAAGGTCCATTTTAATAAAGCTGCGAGTAGAGGGGAAGGTTTCTCGGCGCGGGGTGGATGGCCCGTGGGAACTGTGGAGGGAGGAAGGGGTTGCCTTAAATGCCCGTCTCCGGCTGGCACCTGCCCGGGTCCACCGTAGCGCGTGGCGCTGGTGGAGATGCAGCCAGCTTTCTGAGGCTGAGACCGGGTCCCAACAGGCGGTGCACTCCCGGGGAGATAGCCTCGCCAAGGAGGGCTCGGGGGGAGGGGGGGGCGGGTAACGACACCACACATTCCTTACGCCTTTGTTGTCTATACCTCTTCAAAGGAACCTCGCTTCATAGCGTTTAATTTTAGGGCAAGTAACGCACCCTTCGTTCCAAAGGTGCACAGGAGTTTACAGTGAAAAGTTGATCGCAGCCTCCTGGTGTCCTTCCCCAGAGGCAACTGAAGTTTCGAGTTTCCTATGAATCCTTCCAGAAAGAGACTGTGTGTGTATACACCTGTGTATTCTCTATCATACTCAAGCATGGTAGCATACATGTTGTTTTGCACATTGTTTTTTCTTCGCAGTATTATCTCTTAGCAGAACGGTTAGTACATGCAAAACTGCTTCATTTGATTTTAATTACTGCGTAGGCCAAAGTAGATACGGTTTTAGAAAATAAAATTATAAAGTACATGTGGATTTAAATATGTGTTTTTTTTTTTAAGATTTCATTTTATTTATTTATTTTTAAGTAATTTCTACACTCAACGTGAGGCTGGAACTCACAACCCCGAGATCAAGAATCGCATGCTCTACCGACCGAGCCAGCCAGGCGCCCCCTAAATACATATGTTTTATAATTTGTTTAGACAGCTCCCTATTTTTTTTTTTAAGTTTTTTTTTAATTTATTTATTCATGAGAGACAGAGAGAGAGAGAGGCAGAGGGAGAAGCAGGCTCCCAAGGAGCAGGAAGCCCGATGCGGGACTCGATCCCAGGACCCTGAGATCATGACCTGAGCCGAAGGCAGACGCTTAACCCTCTGAGCCACCCAGGTGCCCCAAGACAGCTCCCTATTGATGAGCATTTAGGTTGTCTCCATCAAAAGGAAGTTTTGTAAAGTCAAGCCATTGGGCTAGATCTTCTTCCTCCTTCATGGCGGGCTTTGCTGAACACAATAATGATTTAACTTCAGAAAATATTGCTAAGCCGAATATTGAGGAAAGAGGTGGTGCATTATATAAAATCAAAATGCTGTTTAGATTATAAGCCCAGATAATGGAAGGGTCCAGTCTCAGTGTAAAGGGGGACGTAAGGGAGTCAACTTTGCCTGGAATTCTTCCAGGTATCCCTTAGTGACAGTCTTGGCTTCTTAGAAAAATGATACTGAATCAGTCTGTTTCAGGGTGACAAATAAGACAAATCAAAGTAACTTTGGGGCAATGGGGTGAAAAAAATAAAGTAACTTTGGATGCAGGGTGCAGATTACTTTTTATTGGGTTTGGAGGAAAGGCTTGAAACCTCATCAACAAGTGGCAACCTGGTCCCATCCTCCCCAACTTGTTTTTCCCTCAGTTTGTTTTCTTAATATTTTTCAAGTTGAGCATTAGGAAAGGAGATATATATAGTTAGTCTCTCCAGTAATATTTTCTTTCCTTTTTCTGTGCATACTTAAGTTTCTATAAATTGTGCCATATCAGCAAGAAGAGTCCTCTTTTAATGGCTGTATGATATTGCATAGTATGGCTGAATTGTGATTTATATAATGACAATAAGTAAATGGTTATGTGGGGGGTTTTCAGTCCCTGTAAATGGCAGCAGTCGCATCAGTGTATGTATCTGCCTACATGTATGATTGTCTCTGCAGAGCAAAGTAGAAGTGAAGAGGCCAGGCCAAAATATATAGAGGTTTATCCATTCATTGGTGGACTTTTTTTGGTGATTATGAATAATGCTGCTATGAACATTGATGTACAAGTTTTTGTGTGGAGATGTTTTCAGTTGCTTTGCATATACACACCTAGGAGTGGAATTGCAGGTTTGCATGGTAACGCCATGTTTAACCTGCCAGACTTTTCCAAAGCTGCTGTACCACCAGCATTTCCCACCAGCAATTTATTCCTCATCCTTACCAACACCTTTTACAGGATTGTGAAGATTCTTTACCAGTGGGGTTGGTTCATAAAACTTAATGCACATTATCACTTTTGCCCACTCTGCCCTTAAATACATTATTTTTTTTTTTTTACTTTATTGCCTTGTTATTTTTATTGCAACCTATTTTATCTGTTAAGTCAAATTCCATTCCCATAGATTGCAGTATATTTCATGGTGGTGTATACATTTTTTTTTTAAGATTGACTTATTTATTTTAGAGAGAATAAGAGAGTTCCAGTGCCTGCGGTGGGGGGATTTGGGGGGGTGGGGAGAGGAAGAGAGAGAATCTCAAGCTGACTCCCCAGTGAGCACAGAGCCCATTGGGGCTCCATCCCAGGATGCTGAGCCGCAATCAAAAGTCTGTCTCTTAACTGACTGAGCCACCCATGCACCCCTGGTGTATATGTTTAATACAGGATGCTTAATGCCTATTTTTGTTCCCTGTAGTCCTTTGTTTTTTTTTTGTTTGGTTGGTTTTTTTTTTAAAGATTTTATTTATTTACTTGACAGAGAGAGAGCACGAGAGGGAACACAAGCAGGGAGAATGGGAGAGGGAGAAGCAGGCCTCCCTGCGAGCAGGGAGCCCAACGCAGGGCCCGATCCCAGGACCCTGGGATCATGACCTAAGCCGAAGGCAGACACTTAATGACTGAACCACTCAGGCGCCCCATCCCTGTAGTCCTTTGTTATGTGGTCACTTTTTTTAGTTTCTAGCCAGCCACCTGGCTACACTGGCCATTTACTAGGAGCTGACCGATGTTTTATTCCCATGTGGACGCCATCTACCTCTCATTGGCCATTTACTCAGTTCTTGCCATGTGCAATGACGTGGATTTTTACATAAGCTGTATTCCTGGTGCAGTTCCAGTGTATTATGTTAAAAAAAAGATCATAAAAGATAAAAACTGTAAACTATACATTAATGTGAAAGAGATACTGAGTAAAGATATAATCAGAATGAGTTGTTATCAGTCAGGGAAGCTGGGGAAGAAGGGAAGAGAAGAGGGTTTTTGGTCGGCTTTGGAATTAGATCTCTCTCAAGATGGGAGAAGTACCAAAGGAAAAATGTTGGACACAGGTTTTTGATTTTCCTATGAACCTCCTTGCAGTCAGAAGTCTGAATCTTTTTATCTCTATATTCCTATCCCTTAAATAGGGCCATAAATGATAGTGTACATTCTCCTTTCCTCTTTATTAATATAGGAAAAAAATTTAAAGACTGAAATTATTGTATTATCCCTATGCTTGATAATTTATAGGATTTAATAGTTGGTACAGAACTTAAATTTATTTTACTTCTTTATTTTTTAAACTTCTGACTAGTAAAAGTAATTGGTAATAACTATTGGCTAAAAAAGATTTTTGGTGGTTTGTCTTAAAAATTTTTTTTTCTTTCAGTATCTGCCATGATAGTCTCTCTCTTTAAGACTGTCTATATTATAACAGTAAATAATTTTATTGGAGAAGCTCTAGTTGAGGTCAGGATTGTCATTTAAAAGCACCAATTAATGGTATATCAGATACTCATCAAATTAAACAGATATAGCCCTGCCTCTACCCCCCTTCTTTTCTTTTTAGGATTTAAAAAATTCACATTAGACATTATTAGACAGGGAAAATTTATTCATTAATTCAAAAAGTATTTAATGAATTCTTACTATGTAAAATAGTCCTTCATATTCATTGTTTGCTGTGATAGAAGTGTATTTTTCTTGATAAAAAAGGAATACAGTTACCAAGGCACTGATTCAAGGAGGAAATAAATTCATTTTTCTTCAAGACTTTCATG